GATGAAAGAAACTGAAATGCATCAGAATACATTCTGGTGCTTGCTGGCAGTCTGAAACACTGTAGTTTTTTCATTGTTTATAGACTAAAAAGAATTTTTTTTAGTGGACTGTTCCCATATGCTATCACAGATTTTAGGGCCAAAGCTCATGACAGACATTTTAAGAAAGAATACAATTGTTACTGACTAACTTCTGAGACTAAAATTAAACATTATTTTACTGCAACAACTTCAAATGGAACTAAATGCAGAAGTTCTTTTGCATTTATTTTGGAAAAAGTATGTACTGTGATGAAAATTCTTGGGCTGAGAATTTTGCTATTGAAATCATGGTATAAACCCTTCTTTCACTATCAAAGAGGGAATTTGAACTCTGGGTTACAGAAAAGACCATAAAACAAGATCTTATGGTAAAAACTTACAGCTAAGAGGGCAGTATACAGTTTTCAGTATTTGTGTTCCCTCTAAAGTTTCAGCTGACACTTTTTCCTGATGTACTTGCATCACTTCTAAACATCCACAAGTTGTTACTTTCTATACTAATGATGAATGAATTTAATTTCAATAATGTTTATATCTTATCCATCCCTTTACTGGATCTAAGTTAGGAAACCATTATCTGAGGACATTTCTAAATTACTGTGAATGAATGTATTACCGCCTTAGTTGCTGTCTGTATTGTGTCTGGTCGGTCTTTTCAATAGGGTGCCTGCTTTTCTAGTGCCCCACATGAATGTTTACCAAATTAATGCAATTTCTATAATTAACAAGGTGCAGTTAAACTTGCAGAAACAGGAAAAAATAACATGTAATTTTAAATTTTATACACATTGTTTTATTTTAATGTATATTATATGTAGTTTATCAACTGGTATCAAAACATATGAAGTTGCAAGTTTATAATAGAATTTGCATTTTAAAAGGTTACAGGATTGGATTATGCTTTGACATAGGACATGAGTTTAAAACTACATTTTTCTCTTCAGAGCATGTCAGCTACAACATTTTGAAACTGTATTTTTGAAACTACAGTATAATGTACTCATGGAGTATTGCTCTTTGCTCATCATTTTCCAGCAGATAAAGATATCTCCTTCTGTGACCATACCCTGTACATGCTCCCATCTTGTATTCCCCAGACTCCTCTGTGTTGAGATGTGAAGAAACCATAAATTTTTCTGCACCATTTTCTCAACCTTAATTCATTCCTTTGCTTCTTAATGATGCAGCAGACTTACTGATTATGTCAAGGCTTCTTATTTCTAATGTTACTTAAAAAAATAAATCTCTATTGTTAATTCAATAAAGCATCTTAGTCCTTTAATTTATTTTAATAATTTACATCTTATGTGTTGCTTATATGGTATAAAGTGCCTCATTAAACTTTCCATTTTCTGAAGGAGAATTAACCCAACTAGTGTTTCAGTTTGTGATGCTATTTTTTTTCTTGATTTTTTGTTTTTATCCAATAGTAAACAGGCCTTTGTGATCCTAAGAGTTTGATTCAGTGCTGTAGAAGGGTAGCAGCAATTCTTATTACTTTCTCTCTTAAGTAGGTTTCTTAGTTTTGCAAAGTATTATTTTCAGACATTGCGTTCCCATAATAGATTGAGACCTTTTAATCCCCACGGATGTTGAAATTAATGTTGTCACTGTTGTTCATCTCTTTCATATTATATAATTACTACTTGAACCAGCGACTCTGTATTACTTAGGACTTAACAGAGAATAATCCCTCATCTTGTGTACTCTGGAATTAGCTGTTCAAGAGCATTTGTTTAAGAAATCACTTCTCTAAGCCTTGTTCCATTTAGCAGAACATGAGATACATTGTAAATATATTTGCAATATGCTAAGTACATCTTCTTGTAAGTCCATATTCTTATATATAAGTTGTGAAACATTAAAATGCCACTTATCTGGTTTTATTTAGAGAGGTGATGTACTTGTGTCACTGTGTACTAATGAAGCATAATTGGCAGTGATGTATCTGACTTAATAGGAAAGATACAAACCCCACCATAGACAGCTGAGGCAAAACAGCGAAACACCATCTTTCACTTGTAAAATACCTCACTGGAAAACCATAAAATGTCTTATTTGTGCAAAAGGTCATTTCCCCCCACAATAACTGTAGAATCAGAGAAGCATTCCTGACCCTCAGATTAGCTCAGTTGGCTGGACCGTGGTGTTAATAACACCAAGGTCCTGAGTTCGATCCCGGCTATGGGCCATTCGTGTAAGAGTTGGACTCGATGATCTTTTTCGGTCCCTTCCAACTCAGAATATTCTCCAAAATCCGTGAAATTTCCTTTCTCTGCGAACACAGCGTGGCCACGTGTGTCCTGCCTGCCAGGATCAGCACCTTGGACAGCGCTGTGCCTTTCCCGGCCGTCCTGAGCTGCGGGGAGACCGGGAGGCTCCAGAGGATACTCATTGGCTCTGAGAACAGCTTGTAAAGGACAGGCCGTGTTTAGTTTGTGCCTCTGCCGACAAAAAGAATCGAGGGGAACTGCTGTCTGAGTTCCGGTGTACATGCGCAGCGTATAGCGAGTGCCACATTGAGGAAGGGATATCGTGGAGGCCCAGTGGCTCCCGAGGCGATGACTGCCCGATGTGAGTGATGCTGGGTGGAGACATCCAGGCTGCTAGAGGCCAAAGGAATGATGTGTGTCAGAGCAGAGTGGGAACGCTAGGCAGAGCAAGGATAGAGGAAGAGGTTGGGATACTACACTTCTTCCTATTCCTGTCCAAAATAGATGCCAAGTGTGTAACCTTTAACTTGCACCCCTGGTACATTGGTGTATTCACTTTCACTGATCAAATACTCTGTTGTTCTAATTCCTGAATTGTGAGTAAGAAAGATGACAACACTAACATTTTAGCTCCATTGAAGTTAATACCACACATAAGTATCGATCTCAGGAGATCTAGAATTCCACTTTAAGTAATAACCTAAGAAAAGTATGTATTTATAGAGAGTAGAAGAAAGTAAAGACCATAATTATGTTTTTGCATATTCATATTTAAATATACATTATATGTGCAGTAAGGAGAAAATTAATAAATTCTCAATTCATACCACAAAAATACTTCCACTTTCAAATGAGCTTTTACAGCGGCAGAAGTCAAATATATCAGATGCTTAATTCTGCTGATAATCAATCCAATTTCCAGAATGAGATTAAGCATCATTATAGACTTTTTCTGTAACTACCTTTCCCATGGGACAGCAACACAGAACAGCCATGCGAAGTTAACATCCAATTAGAAAGACTAATACATTTTGCACTTCTGGCAGAAGCTAGTTGGGAATTTTCCAGGCTATTTCTGTGCCTACTCTCCCATCTTGGGAATTCCTAAGAAACTGTAGCTACCCAAGTTCAGAGGTGCTCTGGGTGTTTAGGAAGCAGAGTGGAAAACTGCTTATGATTTTTTGGGAAGTAACATTTGCTTTATCTGTTGGTTAATATAGATGAAATTTTGGCCTCATAAGAGATAAAAGTAATTTATCTCTTTAGTCTTTCATTCAAAAACTTTAATTTTTTTTCAAGGAAGGATAAGTTTCCTTGGCCGTAAGTTTCAGGCTGTGTGAATCTGTTTGCAGATTTCTGCTTCATGCCGTGTTGTTTTCAATAAATGTGTGGGACTGAAAGCTGCATCTGAGGCTGGTGTCATCAACATCCTTATTGTAAGAGCTTGAGAAAAATATTATCTCTCAGTGTTTTGCACTGTGAAAATATGTTAATACAAAGTTAATTGACTAAAATGCTTAAATGCATGGGTTTTTTTAAAAAATAATTTTATTAAAAATTATATGACTAATACAGTATTAAGTTTATTCAAGAAAGGTTTAAGAGGAAAAACTACTACTAATTAAAATGAAAATAAAGTAGCATGGAAAAATGTCACCAACATGAACTTAGTAGTTACAAGTAAATGTTTTGTGGAAGAAAAGTCAATCTAGCTAAATAAATAGTGAAAGAGAAAAAGAAGTAAAAGAAATGGAGATTCAAAAATAAATCCTGACAAAATACATACAACTTGGAAAGCCAAATTTGTGGTGAAAGTGATAGGAAAAGGACTGGGTTTATTTTCAACTGTCAGACCAGACTAGTTATGCAGGGGCTTTTAGAAGAGATATTCGACTTTATAGCACAAATCTGTTTGTATAATGATGTACTGGGGCTTTATTTAGCCGGCGAGATACTCTATAGAGTGACAAAGCTGGGAAGGAGCACGTTTTCCTGGCCAAAATTCTGGACGTGGCGGGGGGCTTTCCCCGGCGCTGCTGCCTCACGCAGCACAGAGGAGTCGGTCCCACACCGGTGAGGTCGGAGAGTGGCGACTTCGCCGTGTAAAACGCTAAGGGTGAAAAGTTGCGTATGGGGAAATCAAGACGGGAAATAACTTTTGTGTGGCGCACGAGTCAGGCAGTGGGCTGAAAGGGTTAAATATTCGTCATTAAAAATTACAGTTGACATTTTCTTCTCGGTTGAAGCGGAGCTGCCGCTGGGCCCAGCGAGAGCGGGGGGTGGTTTTCACTCGCGGCTGACGAGAGGCTGAGGCTCATCCGGAGCCGGCCGGCGGCGGGGCGGCGAGGAACGGGGATGTTCCCCGGAGGGGCAACGAAAACAAAAAACCCTAAACTTGGGTGAGGGGGAGAAGACACAGACGTGCTTAAAGAGAAAATGAAATGAAATAAAATAAAATAAAGGGTAAATAAGAAAAAGCCTCGCGTCGCGGCAGGCGAAGGTGAAGCGCGTTACCTCCCGCCCGGTCTCCGCCGCGCCCCCTCAGCCCCGCGGGCCCGCCCGGCCGCTGACGGCGCCGCCCTCGGCGCAGGCGCAGCCGGGGCGCGGGGGGGCCGGAGCGGCGCCGCGCCCTCGCTCCGCGTCCCGGGCGGTGTCTCGGCGCAGCCATGTCTGGCGGCGCGGGGCGGCGAGGCGCGCTCGGGCGGCGGCGCCCTCTGTGAGGCGGCGGCGGACGCGCGGCGGCGGCGGGCATCCATGTCGGCGGGCAGGGATTAGCGCGGCGGACACCGAGCCGAGCGGAGGGGGCGGCCGGCCCGTCGCCCCCTTCCCGCGGGGTCTCCGGCGGAGGAGAGCCGTACCCGGCCGGCGGGGGCGGGTGGACATGGCTGACCGGAGCGCACCGAGCTGCCACCTGCGGCTGGAGTGGGTCTACGGCTACCGGGGTCACCAGTGCCGCAACAACCTCTATTACACGGCGGCCAAGGAGATCGTCTACTTCGTGGCGGGGGTCGGCGTGGTCTACAGCCCCCGGGAGCACCGGCAGAAATTCTACCTGGGGCACCAGGACGACATCATCAGGTACCGCCGGGCTGCCTCCCGCCGCGGGCCCCGACCCCCTCCGGCTGTCCCGACCCCACAGCCCGTCTGTCCCGACCCCACAACCCGGCTCCTTCCCTGCCCACTCCTCCCGTTGCCCCGGAGCGGGCGCGGGTGCCCCCCCGCCGCCGCCTGCCCCCAGTGCCGTCCCGGGCAGCGCCGGCGATCCCGCGTCCCGCCAGCGCCCCGGGGACCCGGGGAGCGGACCGGGATACATCAAGGACAGTCAGCGCTCCCTCACTGCCCCCCCGCTCCGCCCGAGCATCGCCGTGGGTAAAAGCAGCCTGGGAAAGGCTTTTGGCCGTCGGATTTCACGGGCCGGGTCGTGTTCCCCCCACCGCCGCTGGTGTGCGGTGCCGAAACTTGCGCGGGCGCTCGTGCCCGGCGCGGCAGCCCGAGGGTCGCGGCTCGGTCCCGGCCGCCCCTGAATGTCAAAGGGCCGGCGGGAGGAGAGGCGGTAATCGCGTGTGTGCCCCGGGGCACTCGGGATGCGGAGGAGGTTAATCTGCAGCAAGGTAGACCTTTGGCTGGTGTTAAAAAGGCGACGATTACATGGGGAATTAGTGGCCTCCCTGTAACTCACGCAACTTTTAAGGTAATCTTGAAAGAACAGCCTTTCTTGCGAAGTTGGGGCTTCTTCTGCAGCTCAGTAGTTCACTAGGCAGGGAATGTTATTATGTGCTGAGTTCATTTAAAAAAAAAATTAAAAACTGATGTTGCTGAAGAAATGTACTGGTGTAATTTCTTAAATGTATTTCCACTCCAAGGATGCTTTTATAAGCCTAGTGGTACTGTGAGATCAATGAGAGAATTTGAGGAGTATGAAGGGCAGATGTGAGCCTGAGTCATCAATCTTTTCCCTTCCAGTAGGTGTCATTGCAGATGGATTTTAATTTCCTTTGCTCTTCCTGTTGGGGTAGGAGATAGCAGCACATAGTTTTGTAGGTCTTTTGGAGGTTTTACAGCACAACATTTGTTTTTATGATGCTCAGTGCTCCAAGGCATACCTTCTGTATGCGTTACTCATGTGAGTAACAGGTATTGCCTCCAGAGAGCATAATAGAGGTTATGTCTTTTATTTAAGCTTTTAGACAAACTAGAAAATTTGGTCATAATGGCCACTTTTTTCCTTTGTTTAAATCTTCTTCTTGAAGAAATTTAATTAGGTTTGAAGTATGGCTGTAAATGGTGTCACTTGTGTAGTATCTCTCTCCTTGGTGCTGAATATGTAAAGAAAAAAGTAGTCAGACAATGTACCATTATAGACCCTTATCCTAGGGATGTTAAATCAGGAGTTTGAATCACTGTTGTTTACATCATTTAATGCTTTAACATTCTCACTTTAGTCCAGGAAGAACTGTTTTCTTAGGAACTGCTAGCCATCTATGATGTCAGGTGCTGCGGGAAATACAGATCCACAACTTCCTATTGTGCTAAGGAAGCGGTACCTTACTACTTGTTCTAAGGTCCCGGTAGGGTAATGTTACACGTTTAATACTTTGTATTCATGAATGCTTCGGAATGACACTGTTTGTTTCAGTAGCACTTCTTATAGCGTAAGAATTACATGGTTTGAGCTACAACTGTGGTAACAGTTTCTTGCTCAGTGTCTCAGTTTTGGTATAATGTGCTACATTTGGCCAAAATGTGACAGAAATCATTATTTTGAATAGTACTTAAAAAAAAAAAAAAAGTCTATTGAAAGTCAGCTAACAAGAGAGAAAGAATGTACCTCGTTTGTGTTGGAATGTACTTTGAATTGTATGATACCATGACCCAGCATACTGGAGTTTCTCCTGCTCTGAATTGTACTGATGTTGAGAGAATATAATTCTAAGTATGTTAATGCATTACAGATTTATGCAGTTAGAATTCTGCATGCTTCTTAAATGCAAAAGCTATGCAGAAATATTAGTATGCTATAAGAAGATGCTTGATTTAAAAGCAGCGTGGCTATTTCTTTAGAACTTGCAGTGATCAGTCTTTCACTTGCTACTTTTTTCAAAAGCAACATGGTATCATTTAAATGTCATCTCACACTTTTCATAACTAAACTTGGGCACCTAAACATACTAGTTCCCAAAATTTAAAGGAGTCATGGTATTGTATTAGGTCAAGTATTAAAAAAAAAATTAAAATACCAAAAAGCAGGTGCAAAAATGGCATTATATAACACAGTAATCAGTGTTACTTAATTTTCTCTCTGAAGATAATAAACTCAACTGTTGATTGCAAAAGAATTCATATGTTTTGTATTTTAATAGGCTCAGCAAGTACTGTCTGAATGCTGGGACATTTGTGAATTTTTTAGTGAAAGCAATGGGAGGATTGAGTGCCTTTTTACAAGTAGGGGATCTCACTTGTGAAATTCTGGTGTCCTGAAAATTTTACATGCTTGAAGAATCAAACTTTCATGAGCCCAGCTCCATAGCTACAAGGAGTAAGCAGTAAATATTGCACACTACATGGTGATATTATTAGTACTCTTCATTGTGAGAACTTTTATACCATTAGCATGCTTTGCATGATTTTGTAATTGTAAACATCAATCAGGAAGAGAGGAACAGCAATTTTTTTAGTCAGAGACTATTTATTTATCTTTAGTAATAGCAAACAGCATTAAAGTAGTGGGCTGCTATAAGATATTTTCCATTGTAAAAATTCCTTCTAGCATCAGCAGTTAGTGTTGTATTGTGAAGTTTTACCTCCTTTTATTAAACAAAAGCCTGTAAACTTCCTGTAAGATTTTTTTTTTATGATTAGATGTTTTAACAAAATTTGTTTTCAGTATAATAATCTAAATTTTAATTGTAGTGTGCACACCACAAGCCCCTCAGCCTCATTTAACTATGTAGTGAAAGCAAGAGAGCTCTCTTTCGGTGTTTTGACCCTCAGTTCTATCAAACACTCTTTTGAAATAGAAGAGGAAATTACGATCACTTAGGACCTCTATCAATCTGGTTTTGGTTTTGTTGTTGTTTTTGTTTGTTTTATTTGAACAATCTCAGCTTTAAATCCATCTTTAAAAGGACTTCTCTAACTTTCTGGTGAGCTTTTGCTTTTTATGTTCTGGTTTTTATCTCTTCTGAGAATTACTTTCTAGAAACCAACTGATTATTCCGGAGGATGTGTAGTATCTATCTTATTTGTCTCCTATTTCTTACACATCTGCATATTTTTATTGTTGAGGGCAGGATGTATGTGAACACTTGTGGAACATGCCATTTAGATGCAGATGCTTTGGAAATTTGCATCTTTTGGGAGTGCTGGCAATTGAGTTTCTTACTTTTTCAGGAGTAAATAAGGAAAAAAAATCTTGCACATGAAACCCCAGCTGACTTGCTTTGGCAGTGCTATCTGTTGCCAGCAGCATAGCTTGGACATCCACTGTGTTTGCAGAAGATAAGATCCCCTGTCCAGCCTTGGCTGTGTATATGTAAGAGATACAAATTTTGAATGAACATGAAAATTATTCCTACAGAGCTACTGATTTAAACTGTATGTTCTCTAGGATTTCATGGATCACCAAACTAGCTTGTGAGGTGTAGAATGGTTTGCTTTACGGTAAGAGGTAGACGGTAGATGAGGAAGAAACTGTGTCTTGGTATGTTCAGGTTAGATCTTGCCATTGCTGTCTCCATAATTTTATTGATTTAGAGGATCATAGGTTATTTAATGTAGGCTGTTCATCCTGTGTCAGAGAGACTTCAGGGGGATCATATTTAATCCTTATTTGTAGAAAGATTTCAAAAGATGCCACCTCAGAGTATTAACTTGTCATACTGGAAACTGATGCTCATGTTGAGGCTCCTTATTTGTCTGGGCTAGCTAAGTCCTGTTTATGTATTTTACGTTTTTTATTTAAGGTGAGAAAATTGGAAACCCTGAACTCATCCACGTTTTTAAATGGCTGTCTATTGTTAAAAGCCTTTGATGTCACCAGGACTATTCTCTGTGTTGACATGCTCCAAGGACACTTTTAGAATAATTTTTTTACACTTTTATTTTATTTTTTTCCTCCTTAAAGCTAGCTGTGACCATCTTTTTTTGTGAACTTCAGAGTATTGGAATTTTACTGGGAGTTAGCTTTTCATCTGGCATTGATGATGCCATTGAAAAGTAAAAGCTCAACCTGAGGTTAAACCAGTGCATCTTTTTGAAATCTTTAGCAGACTTGACAAAATGCATATTCTGCCTTATGTGATGTCTGTTCTTGAGTTCAAACTTTGCATTTATTTGTAATTCTACTTTTGGACCATTATCTCTTTGCTGGTGCAAAACAACCGAACAACTGTGCTGGTCACAGAAAAAAGAGGAATCACATTTCTCTGTGAAAAGGAGACAAACGAGGAAGATTATTATCTCTGTCCTACTTTTTTAATATCCATCATGTGACTAAGTGAGCAAATAATAGTGCTGTTGTATATTATTCCTAGAACTTTATAATCAGTGTAGTGTGACTATTTTAGTAAGATGTTTGTGGAACATTTAGGTTTTGTAGCTGACACATTTTATACTAGTAACAATGCTTGAATTTCTACTGATGATGGCATATGTAGCTTTGCTACATATGGTTGAGGAAGCATAGACTGTATCTAATAAGTTCATTTTCCTTCTTGTCTAAAATCTATACACTTTCCTTGTCTGGGACTAAGTTTGGGGAAAGAAATCATGTATCTTCTGCTGTAGGACTCATCAGAGTTCTGTTTTTAGGGAAAACATAACTTAAAGAATTATTCAGAAAACACTGAAATTCTTTACTATTAGTAGTTCTAGTACCAGAAACCACCAGATACCCTGGTACAAAGACAGAGAGGAGAAAGAAATGGTTCTCTTTCAGTGAGGTTAAAACATGTGGTTCTTTTCCCCCTTTGTGCCTCTCTGTATCCAAGACTGCAGAGAGAGAAATTGCATGTTTACAGGGAGCAGAAGTATATGCAAGACAGGTGGAAAGAATGGGAAAGCATTTAGAGATAGTGTTT